CCCCCGTAGAGGAAATTGTTTTGCTAGGACCTGAGCTGTGTGATGTATGCCCAGGTTTTGGTAATATTAGTCATGGCATTGAATGATGCTATCTGTAATTTAAAAAAGTTATTTTGGGGACATCTGGGAAATAATAGTTGTTTGTTGGTAGAAAGATCAGGATAGAAGGACTTCTACAATAGGATATACGTCGTGCTTACTGTTATCATGCACTACTTAAGAAGAATACGTAATATGCACAATGTACTTTTACTGCATGGTTGACTTCAGCATTGGAAAGCACTGTAATTTGTGAATCTCTTGTTTTGGGATGATAGCTCCATTTCCTGTATGAAAAGTTTGAAGTGTAGAGTGTGAGACAACAAAAGAATCAGAAGTCAAACCTTGTTCTGTGCCTTTGTGTTAATCTAATGATATATTAATAACTCTTTCCTACCTGTAGGAAATTTGTCCAGTCTAAGTCGTCTTGGCCTGAGGTACAATAGGCTGTCAGCAATTCCGAAGTCTTTAGCAAAATGCAGTGAACTTGATGAACTGAACCTGGAGAACAACAACATTTCTACTTTACCAGAGGTGAGAATTAGAGGGAGTGGATTTGGGAGGGAATGTTGTTGTAAGGCATCAGTGTTTTGTAGAGGGATTGGAACATGTGAAATTACTTCATCTTGCATCACAACTCTGAGGAATAACCTTTGTTTTAATCTACATGTGTGTGAAATACTGCAATTCTGTACATATTAGGTATGTCTAACTAGTATAGAAGAACTGATGTCATACAACTTCAGTCAAAAGTGGGAGCAATACATGTGGTTGTGTTTGTTGTCCTGTCTCTTTAGAAAACCTTAAATGAGGAGTCCAGGTTCCTACCATTCAAGCTAGATAAAAGCTTCTTGGTGTTTCTGTTTCATGGAGGTAGGGAAGAAGTAGAAAAATGAAAAATGGGATATCTTTCCCATCTAATTGAGGCAAGAATGACCTTTAAGAGAGTGGGTAAAGTTTGTCACAGCTACTTGGCCTCAGCATTCTCGTTTTATTGTGGAAAAGTATGCTGCTGACACCGATGAGATATCGTCTGGCAACTCATTGACACATCTTCTGTCAGTTATGAAAAATAAAAATTTGCATAATTTTTCAGTTTCCAGTGACTCTCCGAGGTTCATGGGAGAAAGAGAAATCTGTTTTCTTGCTTTACTTTTCAGAGTTGCTGCACTTGATTGTCTTACCTTGGTCTCTCTTGTTTCAGGCTTAGTGTGGGATCAAGGAAAATGTCCATAGTTAGAAGTTCTGGAGCTACCTTGTCAGTCTCTTCAAGTAACATGTTCCTTGAATGGAGTGCTTTGCTAGCTCTGGGGTGGAGAGGCAGAAAGTTCTAGTCCCCTGTGCATCTGTACATTTTTCTATACTTCGTCCCTAGTGTTTTCTGAAAGGTGCCCCTGTGGACTCCAGTTTCACAATCCTGGATAGCTACAGCAGTTGGTTACAGACCACTTTTTAAATACAGCTTTGATGTCTGCAGACTTTGAAACTATTTCAACTGTTGGTTATACCTTTCATCCTGATTATCCTTTTCTTAGTTTCGTGAGACTGATTTATCAGGATAGCAAAGTGTGAGATGCTTGGCTGCATACTGCATACTTTTGGTGCTAGTAAACATTTAGAGAAAATGTTTGACTTGAAGCATTAGTGCCTGAGAAGAATTGCTCCGATGACGGAAAAAAATCTGATGTGATTGATTCTTATTTTGGATATTTCTTCCATTGCTTTAGAACTGTTTGGAGATGAAGGCTTCAGGACACAACACAGAGTTTTATTTTGTTCTGTTTTAATAATGGTCCAGACTGCTTTCCTAAGCTGTTTAAAAAGAAAAAAAAAAATTATTAGTATCAAATAATTCAAAATGTATCTAAAAAGGTATATAGGAAACTATACGTAGAAGAAAAAAACAAAATGCATTTGGAGTTAGGCAAAGTATTCATACTAACAAAGTGCAATAAGTAACTAGTTTCCTTCAGATAAATTTCTAAACTCCACAATGATAGACTGAAAACAGAGAATTTAATAAATGTTTAGGTAAAACTATAATTTAAGAAAATGCTACTGACTGAAAGCCACCAGGCTGCTTTTAAGATGAGAGCTAAGCTAGCCCACCCCACCCAGGCATATTATAAAAGCAACTACGGTATAATTACAAAAAGCTAATGTGAGGGATGATTACTTGCTTTAAACCCAATTCAGTCATAATACAAAACTCTTTGACTGTGCTGCCTTCTTCACGTACATTTGCCAACAATATGTTAACACTTAAGCTGCTACCTTGCAGAAGTGGATAGTTTATACTGTAATCTGTTTAAAGTAAAACATTCTGTGCTATAATACAAAGAACTGTATTTGTAGAAGAAACTTCTGACTTTCAAAACATAGCTGAAGCTGCTGACACAATGCCTAATAAATATTTTATCTTAAAAGGATGGGCTGGAAGAAGGCAGCACTGCCACAGCTCTCATAAGAGCATTGTTCTCTTTGTACTGCCAAAGCTCTCTTGCTTCCCTTCAAATGTATTTAATTACTCTAGGCTATTAGAGTGTATTAGCTAACATATTTTTAATATTTTTTTGTATGGAAGCAGACTTCAAAAATGGCTTTTTGAAATGCCAAGATCCATTTGAAGCAATAAAGTGTGTTTGTAACAGAGCTCAGGGACTGCCTAACCCTAGGACAAAGTATATCTGTTAATTAAAGTATAGCTAGAAGCAGTATTTCCTAATCAAAGATTATACTAGTTAATGATTAGGTTAAATTAATACTGATTTGAAGATCCATTATTTTATTTTTAGGGGGAAAATTGCTTCACTGATATTTGCTGAGATCCCCCCAGAATTTTATTTCAGTGCTTAAAGTTTTAGCCATGACATGTAGACAAGTCCCTATTTAATCCTGTTTTATTTACAATAATGTTAATAAACTATTTAGAAAAGTAGCCAAAGCTTTCCTGGTGAAACAGCAAAGCCATGTTTTTAAAGCTTTTACAGTGAATATAGCACTGAAATTGCAATCCAGAAATACCGACATTAGGAATATGGTTGGAATCATTATCTTGTTACTGCTCTTTCCTGATTGCAGATGTTGCATTATTTATGGTATGTAATGCTATGCATAAATCTCCAATTTCTGTAACACTTAAGCAAATAGGGCTGAATTCAAGTTGTCAGAGTAATAAGCAAAGGTGACACTTCAGCAGTAATTTAGATCTCATTATTCATCCCTACAGTTCCAGCAATGTGCTTGGCATGTAACTAACAGATAAACTCCGAGATCTGTGCTGCTGAGATTTTTAGAATCTAATTAGATGGTGAAGCGAAATAAGACTCTGGATTCAATGGGCAACCATTGCTACACAGTTTAACTCCAGGCTTCTTCCTTTTTATATCTTGGGGGGGGGAGAAGTGGAGTAATAACTATCTAGGAATATCTTGAAAACAGGAAAAAAAAATGGAATTTCCAAAACCTTGCCTTCCCATTCTTTTTCTCTGTCTTGCTGGTTATCTGAAACTGTTACAGCCTAAAAGGAAACTTCTACCAGATGTGTTCATCTTATGGATTGTTATTACATTAACGAAGATTTGTACTGGAAGTATCAAACACCAGTTTGAAAAACGGTGCATGCCGTTGATACTTCTTTGGGCCCCACTCTCTCACATGTGAGCAGGCATGAAAATTGAGTGAGCTGCAGTTGGGTGGTGTTGACCAAAGCCAGGACTGCTGTTCAGGACGGACACGCTGCTGACTGCACCTGCCAGCCGCTGCCCCTGTGCTCTTCACAGCTACCCAAGGCATAGCAATGCGTTATTAAAAAAATTCCCTTTGGAGGAGAAAAGAGTTACAAAACCTCCTAAACTTGTGCTTTTAAATGTGATATGTTTGCTTTTTGTATCTGGCGGTACGTAAAGAGAAAGGGGAAAATAAGGTAAAGACGGACGACTGTGAGCAGAGAGTTTTATCAAATTTAACACTGGATTGTGTGTTGCAACACTTATTTAGGGGGTAGACTTGAGGGGGGAAAACATTTCTAATTAGATCTGTGAGGGAAAAGAGATGTATTCAAATAAATCTGTCCTAAGTTCCTGGGTGGTTTTCTTCTCTCTACAGGGTCTTTTATCCAGCCTTGTCAAACTGACTAGTTTAACACTGGCCAGGAACTGCTTCCAGTCCTATCCCGTGGGTGGCCCGTCCCAGTTCTCTACAATCTACTCTCTCAATATGGAGCACAACCGCATCAATAAAATCCCCTTTGGAATTTTCTCTAGAGCTAAAGTATTAAGTAAGCTGAACATGAAGGTGAGGCACAGAAACATGCTGCTGTGTGTAAAATCAATGGGGAGCACTGTTTGCTGCTCCATGAATTCTGGCAAACTTAATGATATAAGGAATGAATTTATTACGTTGAAGTGGACGCTGCTGCTGTCACATATAGAAACAATTCTGTATTAGTTTAAAAATGTACTATCAAGATGTTATTGATTTGCCTTTATTTTTGTTGGTTAAGCTTTTGTCACATTTGCTCAAGTTTGAACAATGAAAACAAGAAAGTTGGTTGCAAAGTTCTTGAATATTCAAATGAGACATAAGCATGTAGAGTAGCTTATTTCTTTCCCCCTCTACTGTTACAGTTTAGATTAAAACCAAAATTATGTATTTTTTTTTTTTAATATATTCTTTCAAAACTTAAGTTTGGAGACTTTTGGCAGTAGTTGTAGAGGACAAAAAAAGAACCTTTAAGTCGGTGCTATGTACACTTAGAGTGAAGAGAACTAGGGAAAAGAGATGATATTTTTCTATGAATGGGTTTGTTTCAAGTTCTTAAATCATTAAAAAAATGTTTGAGCAATATCTAAGCTCAGCTGGTGTTTTAGAATATCTTTTGGCACAAATGGATTCTCAATTTGCATTAAGACCATTTTTTATCACATACCTGTTCGTAGCTTTGCGTGTTTACCAGGGCTTTGTATGATCTGTTTTTTTAGATTTTTTTTTTTTTTTTAAGTGTCTGGTCTAGGTCAAATTTTGTAGCTACATTCTGAGCAGTAAGATACTCAGATTAATTTCACATGTTTTTACTCTGAGCCATTAAGGTGTATTTCCTTTGTGGTGTGTTTGGTGTTGTGGTTTTTTTTTTTTTTTCCTTGTTCTTTTTTTGGGGGGGCTGTGGGTTTTTTCGTTTTGAGGGTTTTTTTTTGGTTTGGGTTTTTTTTTGTTTTTTTTCCCCCTAAGCTAACTACATACATTTTTAGGATTGCAGTGTTGCTGATAGCACCCTTCTAAGTTATGGTGAATTTTCTGTTCTTCCCCCCCTCCTCAATTGTATTCAGCAAAGAAAGAACAAAAAAATGTTTTAACTACTGGGACACATGAAATCTTGAGAATTGATGTGCTTCTGATTTTTCCACTACAGTTCATATTAGTAACACAGAGTCAATTCTGTTACTCTAAGTTGGAACTGCTTATTATGTTTTGAGGAATTTAAAAAAATGTTTGGCCAATTATCAACATTTTATTCTTCGGATTTAATTATCTACTGTTTTGTTATGAAGTATTTTGTAAGCAGTTTGTTTAATCTCTCAGATGCCATGCCGACTTCTTGCAAGTGCAGACCCTAAATGTTTGCTATGTTAAATCACAGGACAATCAGCTGACCTCTCTCCCCTTGGATTTCGGGACTTGGACTAGTATGGTAGAACTGAACTTAGCGACTAATCAGCTCACAAAAATCCCTGAGGATGTATCTGGGCTTGTTTCTCTTGAGGTGAGAAGAGTATAAATGAACAGCTAAGTGAATCCCTGCAAATAGGCCGTCTGTACTTCAGGTTTAAGCAATACTACTTTTGGGTCAAATAAAGCCAAATAAATATGTGTATGTATGCTATTTAAATGGATGTGTTGCATCTGTTTATGGTTGTTTTCAACAGCTTTTTGAATGTTGTTCTTTAGGCTCTAGATGATTGTCTGTGCACAAAGAGTTAAGTACAAATATATTTTTAACTATGTAGAAAGAATTTTTTTCTCAACAGAAAGTTACTGTTGTAAATGAAATGGCACCGAACCCAGTTTGATTCCTGGAGAGACCATCAAGGAAACAGCAGGGATCAGAAAAACGTAATGAAATGGTCTACAGCCAGAGGTGGCTTGAATGTAGTAGCACTGTGAACCTTGTAGGCAGCCGGGTGGGAATTCTCAGCCTTTGAGGGAGAAGAACTCGTAGGTTGAAACTGTGAACTAAACCTGTTGTGTCCCCTAGTCCTGTTTCCCAAGGTACCATCAGGAGAGACAAACTTAATTGCCTTGGAGGGACATAAAGATAGAGGTACTTGTTCAGGCAGTTGAGGGGACTTTGTAGCCTCTGTGAGTTGCTGGGAAAAATCTGTTAAAGTACCATAGCAAATGGCACATTTGAAATTGCAAATTTCCAGTGTGACTGCTGCTCTGAATAATTAATAAATCCTGTAGTTTGGGGCAAAAATCATATGGCAGAGTAATAGCTATTTAGTGGCCCAGTTCCTTTACAGTTAAGGCTGAGATTGATGTGATTGGGAAGTTAGTAACCTCTAACAACTGGATTTGCTGGTGGTCTGCTGGCTGCAGACTTGTTAGCGCTATTTTTCTCTGTAATTAAAGAATCAAATACAAAGAACTACTTGGGCAGTGTTCACACAAAGTGAAGGTTCCAACAGCAGTGCTAAGTCAGCTGCATTGCATGTAGGTAATATTTTCTGTTCCTGCCTTTGTTTCTTGATACATGGTTAAAACGTTACTGTTCTTACCGTTCTGTATATATCGTAGCGCATAAGGGAAGGCCACCGAAATACCGCGTGTGCTAATGCTAAGATGTTGGCTTTTATTCATTTTGATTTCCACTTTGATTTTTAGCCTTGTTTTCTATTCTGTTCTTGACTTCAGTGTTTCCATGTTATATGAAGCTAGTGAGAGCTGGGATTGGTAGAAGCCAGGCATTTGCAACCTTGGCTGGCTTAGCAGGGAGCTGTGCCTGGCTAAGATGATGAGGGTCCACACTGGGTGCTCTTTCACATCCTTGTGTTTCAATGTGCCTTGTTAGATAACTAGACAATAGCATTGTTTAATCGGTAATTAATTACCTTACTGCTTGCTGTGTTGTTATGAGGCTTGATTACTTCTAAGGACTGTTAGACTTCTCCGGAGGAAAAATGGTATACTAGTGTAACACCTGTTAACTTCCTTGTGGTGTAATGAATAACTCCGTTAAATGACGTTGCAAATAAGGATACTTTTCCTGAACCTACGATATTTATAATTCAACTTAGAAAGGAGGAGAAAAACGAGGTTAACACTGTACTAGAGGCGGGTGTGTGATGGGAGACCATTTTGAAAAGCCAGTGTTCTGCTTAGGTGCTCTGATCTGTATGTTTACTTGCTGCTGCTCCTAACCAAAGGGACATAGAGAGAAGAAGTAGTATTAAGCTTTTAAAGAGGACTTGGCAAGCACAGCAAATAATGTAAAACATGGTTACGAGATAGCTATAAGGAAGGGTAACAAAATGATAGGGAAGTCCAGGAAGAAATTGTTTTTCTTTGGTCATTTGAAGAAAGAAGGTGTTATTTGTTTTTGTTCTGCATTTATTATTGTGTAAAATAATATTTGAAAGAATTCTATCATAAATCTATGTATTTGTGTCATTAAAGACTTTAAAAAAATGATGTTAATCACTGATTTGATTTTCTTTAATCTTTTCAGTTTGGTTCCATAATTTGAATGTAGGCTAATCTTGGACTTCATTACTTGAAAATATAAAGAGATCCTGTCTTAATCATTATTTACTAATTGCGTTGCTGAAATTCTGTGGTGTTTTTGTGTGTTTGTTTTTTTTTTTTTTTTTTTTTGAGGTTCTTATCTTGTCAAACAATCTACTAAAGAAACTTCCCCATGGAATTGGAAATCTGCGGAAACTCCGAGAGCTAGATCTAGAGGAAAACAAACTGGAATCCTTGCCAAATGAAATAGCTTACCTCAAGGATCTGCAGGTGAAACAATAATGGGCTGAGATAAACATCTTACGTCCTTTATTTACACCATGCTGATTTAATTACAGCTAGCTTGATGAGGGAAACTATTTGGGACTGGACATAGAACCAAAAGTTAAGAATCTTGCGCAACTTCATCCACAATCTGTCCCCACTAATTCTTCTCCAGATTCATCAGTTAATATTGAACAAATAAGTTTTGAAGAGTTTAACTGTTGTACCATGAGTACAATACTGCCACAGGAATGGCCTCTGATTTCAGTCATGTTCATGAAAGCTTTTATGTCTAGGCACATATTTTACTATGCACTATTTTATTTTTATGTTTAGTGGTGCTTAATAGAGGTCTGAAATGTTGTTGAAAGGTAGAAATTTTTTTTTGTTCAAATGCTGGAGAGTAGAACCCATCAATTTATCAGCTATGTATCTTGTTATTTGCTGTCATTTGAAGCAGAAGTCATTAAGTTAATTTTTCAAAATGTGTTTTTTCCCTTAGAAATTGGTTCTGACTAATAATCAGTTGACCACCCTTCCCAGAGGTATCGGTCACCTTACCAATCTGACGCACCTTGGGCTTGGAGAGAATCTTCTCACACACCTTCCTGAGGAAATTGGTAAGATCCCTTTTTCTGGTTTTATGCAGTGTGCCTGAGCCAAAGCAGTTACAGACACAGAAGATAGGCATCTACTGTGCTCATAAGTAGAGGCCACAAAATTCATGTGAAACTTCTAGATATACACGACCTGATGTGAAGCATGTGCCACAGGAACAGCACTATAGGGTATGATCTTTATCTTGCTGAACTGTAGTGAAACAAATGGTGTAGCTTTTTTCAGTTCTTCTGCAGAAAGCTGCCGAGCACACACTAACCTGCATAATGAGACTCCTTTTCTCTCCAGATTCTCCCACAGTTGTGTATTATCAGTCACTCAACTTCATAAACCTATTCTTGGAGAGAGGTCTGTGTCAGAAAGGAAATGCACTTGTCCTACTGTAATTCCATGGTGTAGACAAAACCTTGTGAAAGGTGTAGACAGCTGAAGCAAATGTTTCTGCTGATAGTCCCTCGGCGCACACTTCTGTTTGTAGACCACTGTATTATTTTTCACCTTGATGAGATAAGAAAAGGAAGTGAAAAGGAGGAAATCTACAGAAAGAGAGGAATAGGATTCTTCTTGTGTACTAAAGACATCCAGAGTAAATGAGATTCAGAGCATCTGAAACTGAGATCCCCGTTTCTTTTAGTCAGTCACAAGTACCTCCAGAGCATGATTCTGAGCACTTAGGTTAAAATCTTAAAGTTAGAGCTCATTATGGAGCAAAAAATGATGGGAGAAGCTACACAAAGCAAAATGTGGTCAGAAACAGTGATGTGCAGATGGAGAAGGCTGGGACACAGTCTATCTCTCCCAGCATCTTTAGTGAAGAGCCATTACAGCTTCTGCTCTTGTATGTGCCTCAGTGTGAGAAGGGCCTAAAACAATCTAAATCTGGAGCTTTGTAATTTAGTTTATGAGTTAGTGGAGAGAGTTTGCATGCTGTGGAAACGAGCTGCGAAATTAGAAGTATGTAAGTAAACTTGAAATACTATTGTAGGAGTACAATTTGGTTATTAAAGCTGGTTGTCTTAACAGATTAGAGAATAGTTAACTATTTCCAGATGTGACTGCTTCATCTAAAGTTATCAGCTATTTCCCATTGTTTCTTAGCCTTTCCTTTTTGTTGGTTTTCCCTGCCTTGAGCCCTGACTACTGCTTTCTCTTGTGAAAGATGGAATAGTCTTTTAGGTTACAGGGGATGTTTATGGTATATAAGATTGGAAAATGGGGGATGTTTTGAGGAGGACTTGTACGTTTGGAGTGTATTTCAAAGATATGGATTAATTTTTATATTTGATTGCTGTGGAGGAATGGAAGGCTTAAGAAAGAAGAAATTAGTCCACTTTCCATCTTCCGGTTAATCTATACTGCAGTATCTGTAGTAGAGGTGGGTTGTAAAATTTGAATTCAGGAAGAATTTTTCATAGGGGTTTGTTCCATTTAATAAATTCACTGCTGTGCAGAGATCTCTCCTGCTTTCCTCCTGTGGCGCATTACAGTTACAGCTTCAGGTCTTTAATGTGTGGGTTCTAATTAAATAAAAGGTATGGCATAGATATTTTTATAAAGATAATACATACTGTATGGTATAAATATTTTCTAGGCCCTTCTAACTAGATAGCTATTCAATGTTGCCTGCAATTGCAAAGCAGTTGGCTGAACAGTTACGGTGAAGTCCCTCTCAGCTCTCTTATTCTGTGTATTCTCAATTCGGTTGTTATCTAAAGGAGACGTAGTGGTGAATATTTTTACAGGGAAACTAAAGCAAATTGGTTCTTGCTTAGGTTCCAGTGCTTGAAAATAGGAGTTTAGATGAGTCACTGACTCTAGATTCTACATAGTAAAGAATCTTCAAGTGGGCTTAGTGCTTCTGTCTAAAAGTTATAAACTGTATGAATTAAAAAAAAAATAAAAATACTACTTTGTATTATTTTATTTTAACCAGGTACACTGGAGAATCTGGAAGAACTGTATTTGAATGACAACCCCAATCTGCACAGCCTTCCCTTTGAGCTGGCTCTTTGCAGCAAACTGTCAATAATGAGTATTGAGAACTGCCCGCTCAGCCACCTTCCACCTCAGATTGTTGCAGGAGGACCCTCCTTCATCATTCAGTTCCTAAAAATGCAGGGACCATATCGTGCCATGGTCTGATGCTCATCGGATTGTCCAATACACTGTACAAAATACAAACTGCATTAATGTTGTAATTGTCTGTATATGTATATATAATATAATATATGTGGTTTATATTATATTATATATATATATAAATATATAAATAATATAAAAAGGCAAATTTAAGACTGCATTATGTGTTTCTGCTAATAGAGGAATCATAGCCATTTAGATTTTTTTTTATTCTGTAAAAATGCTTGTCTAAGTTTTCTTTGCTGAATTTGATGGAAGTTGTCTGAATAATCTGGAAATGCCAGTTCATTTAAAGCAATTGCCAATGAACTCAAAGTTTAAATTTAAGGGACAAAAATCGTTTTGCTTGGATTTACTTTCAGTTAAGAGAAATGTATAACCTTTATATAATGAACTTTTCTGTTTTCCTCCCTCTTTTTTTTTTTTTGTGTCAAAACCTGAAAGGGTTGTGTGTCCTGAGGTTGGGATTTTCTTTTAACTTATTTTGAGATTTGAAGCAAATGGTGTTTTTATATTGTTTACAGTCAGAGTAAATCACTGGATTTTGTTTTATTCTGATTTGCTCTGTTTTAATCAATCATATCTAGAATTTATATGCCTCTGCTGATGAATTTTTATCAACCGGTTTGTATACTAAAAACATATACTCATCAGAACAACTGGCAGGTGAAAAGGATGCAGTCAAAACAAAAGAAAAAGAAAAGAAAAAAAAAGCTTGAATTCCTTTAAGTCTTGCTTCCCTGAGTTATCAGTTGCGGGCATAACATATCTGAACTGAGCCTTTTGCGGTTGGTCTTTTCTAGCACAAGTAAACCTTTTCAGATTGGTAAAAACGTTGAGTATACTCAGTGAAGTGAAGTAACGAGTCCATGAGGTCTAACAGTACAGTTAAGTGGCAAGGAAATAATATATATGTACATTTTTACTACAATGTTGAGTCATAAACTACAACAGGCAATTTTAAGGGTTCCTTATAGTCCTTGTACAATAAATGAATGTGTCTTACTTTTAAACACTGCAATATATGTAAGTTTTAAGGTTGGTTAACAATGTACTATGGTTTTATATCTTGACTTGCCTTGTACCTCCTTCCATTATGGAACTTCTGTGTCCAAGCACAATATCTTCACACTGTGCTGTTTTGCTGCTGAACTAAATGCACTTTTCCCCACAGCTGGGGCACTTGCTTCAAAATATTCAGTTCAGTATCTTGATTATTCTTCTTTAACTTCATCCTATCTGTTTCAGTATTAAACCGATCTATTAAAAAAGAGGCACCTTTTTCATTTGTGCATAGATGTTGGTAGCTCAAGAGAAACACTGTAAGTAGTGGACATTCAGTTTTATCATTACTTTCTTGGTTGTTTAAAAGGCAGAAGATCCTTCAGGGAGATTTACAATATTGCTGCGCTTGTAGGGCCAGTTGTCCTTTTTCAGTAGGGTAGGAACTTGAGGCGGTTGCATTGCACGGTTACGCAAGAACTGTCCAGTTTATACTCATTGGAATTGCTGCTGGGGTAGTGTGACTTAGAGGACTGTACCTTTTGAGCAAAATCAAATCAACGAATGCCATGGGAAATCTATTTCACATGCAGAAGTTTGGGTAATATTATTTCTGGCTTTCAGGCATGCTTACTTAGATGTATTGCCTTGATCTATTTGCATTCTGTTTTGTCGTACGTCTTTTCATTAACAAGGAGTAAGTTTAAATGGAAGGCAGGTGGAGATATAAAACCTTAGAGGGCTTAAACATGCTGTAAAACTATTGTAGATGTCACTGGATTTTACTAAGTAATGTTCTGTTTTTCTCACACACTCTGTCGCCCCCCCCCCCTTTTTTTTTACATCTACTGTAGCTTTTCAGTTTAGACTTTAGTTTATAAAAGGCTAGTTCCTTACAGATCTGCCTGAAGTTAATCTTTTCTCAGCATTAAGGTGTTAAAATATGAAGATACTGAAATGCTTAGTATCAAGACTGTAATCTAACTTCTGAATATACTGCTAAATCCATATTTGTGCCCTCAGGTCACTAGGGGAAACTGATTTGATTAATATGGTTCCTTGAAACAAAAGTGGCGACCCCTTGTGTTTTCAGGCATCTTGGTCTCATTCCCTGTCTGCTCCTCAGTCCCATTTTTGTAAGAGTTGACAGGATTGAATTGTTTAGTTTGTAAATATGTCGATTATTCACCTTGTTAAGGTACATGGTTAATGACTGTATGATTGGAGCTGACCCTCTCACATAAATTCTTGTGGAGAAGTTGGCTACCAAAATAGTGCTCATTACACTCGCTTAAAAGCAAACTATTCTTTTCATTACACTTATAGGAATAAATAAAGCTATGTTTTAATTCATTACTATATTAAAAACAGGATATTTTTTCAAACTACCTTTGTGCTAGTATGGTTGTTGCAATGCCAGATAATCCTGAGCCCTGTTTTAGGAGTTTAATTCTATACGTTCTGAAGTGAACTCTTATTTGTTCAGTGTCTCGAGAGATTTGAATAAAAGCAGTGTGAGAGAAGTTCTGGTACAGGAGAAATCAACTCAGAAGAATTTGAGAAGTTCTTTAAAATTAAGCCAAAAGTTTAGGTATTAAACGTGTGGCATGGATTGGGAATAGCTGCATATAAATCCATATAAGTACATACATGGATTTATATCCAACTTTATACACAGATCCATATAAAATCCAGCTATTTTGATCATTCAGAAGAGTCTTACATCCTGACATAAGAGACTCTTGCATTTCCCAGGATGTTGGATTGTTAACTGGTGCAGTTTCTAAATTGTATTTAATGCCTGATGACATTCAGTTGGACATGTGCTAGCTTCTACGTGTTTAAGAATTTTGTTTGGCCTAATCAATGAAAGTATGAATGGAAAGAACTTAATCCTGACAAGTGTGTGTATACATACATATATCTATATGTGTATCTATGTATGTATGAAAGCATAGACAAGGTGGAGAAATTAATTCTTTACGGCATCTTCGAAAACGAGATGGAGAAACAGGTGATTCCCAGATACTTGTATTAAATATTTATCCCCCTTGCCATACAGGGGGAAATAATTTAGAAGGGTTATCAAAAAGTGTGACAATCTTTACTTTGGGTGAAAATCATGACCTTGATTGCTTGTCCATAGACAAAATATCAATTTTGTATGTGTCCGTGCCTATGTACATAAGAATATGTACATATACACATGACCCATAAAGAGACTATCCTGAATCATGCCTTGATTTAACAAGCTAAATTACTGTACTATAGACTATATAGTATTACGGAAGTCTGGTAAGGTGTAAAGCAGATTAGGGATTTGTTAAATAATAACAAGAAGGAATAATTGCCATTGTGACTCATGTTGGTCACATATTGCATTTAAATTTACTAAATAGAAAGTTGTTTGGTAATTCGTCGCAAAAATGCTTTCTTTTAGTATAAACCCATTAAAGTTCTGTCTCTGGCTGTCCCATATTTAGGTTCATCACCAAAGTTGTCTAGTATAAATGCAGTGGAAATGCTGCATGTAAAGTTGTGTCACACAGTTGTGTAATTGGCACTTTTCCATTTGCCAGATGCCATTGGAAACTTTGAAGTTCGTACACCCTTTTTAGAAAGAGATTTGGGTTGTAGAATATTTGCTTCAGTGCCTCTCTTGGATTTAAGGTTTTCTCTGCAGTTTTGTCTATTTTTTGCTAATGTGTGAGAAAGTGCATGTTCAGGCTTCTTGAAGGTCGTGTTTGCTCATGTACATGATTTAGTAAATTAGTACTCAAACTGTCTAGCTGGTTAGTGCTTAAACCCATTGTGTCACCTGGAATTCAAGTATCATCTTTAATACTGGGAGTTTGAAAAATACCTTTAAATACCTTTTATTTAACAATTAGAAAACTTTGAGAGGTTATTTTTTCTTTTTTCTTTTCTTTTTTTTTCCCCACCCTAAAAACCCAAAAATGAATTAAATTTCTGAATCAATACAAACCCATGTCAGGGAAGTCTTCATCTCCGGATGCAACTAACAATTTTCAGATAGTCACTATCACATCTCGGTTGTATCAAATTAGCATGCCAGAATAGCTTCTAATTAGAAATTAGAAATGTGCAGTTGGCAGTAATTTTCACAACACAAACTTCAAGGCACAGTAAGGACAATTACAAACAAACGATGGTATCTACAAATGGTTTTTGTTTTTACGTTAGCAAAGATCAGAAAATTATGTTTATTATTCTGATGTTTAGGTCTTAACCAGGACTGCACAGGACTTTTGCTGTGGGAAAAATACCAGACCACACTAATTTTGTGGTTAAAAACTAAACAAGAGTGTAAACAGTCTACAAAAATGTACTTTTAATCTGAATTATTGTAATGTTGATTGTTATGTCTATATAAAAGATTGCCTTGCTTTTTTATAAGAGTCATTCTGTATCAATGCATTCATTATAAATAGTATATTTGTAAATAAGCTGCCACTGAGTCTTTTGGAAGTTTTCTAGTATTTCTAGTCTAACATTAACTTGGATGTAAGTAGTACTTTTGCAGTGCCCCAAATTATCAAGAACTGCTTTCTCATTATATACTCATCACTCTTTAAAAGATTTTTTTTTTCCCTCAAGTAAAATATAGATTTTTGTTTTTCATGTATAGCAATTACAGGAAACTTCAAAAGTTGCATGACAGTAACTGCTTTACTCAGTCATGTAGATTGGACACCTTTTATAAAGCAAATGTTGGTAATATCTTTTACTTTCATTTTGTTATAGTACAGTAGGGCATATAGTGGAAAAAAAAACCCCAACCTTTCTCTCTGAAAGGGAAAATAAATCTTGGATTTTAGTGCAAAATGCATTTCAACAACAACAAAATTAAAGTAGGTATAGAATTCTGGTGCCTATAAGACAGACACCTGCATTTAAACTTCTGGTTTAATAAAAGACACTATTGCCAAGCTGACATGACATAAGCTCTAAACCCCAATGTCTTTTAACTCTGTAAAGCTTATTATGATAGACACTGTTTCAAGAAGGTCATGCCTACATCGTGTCCTACAAACAAAAAAATGCTAATATCCTTTGAAATCAGAAAAGAAAGGCCTCAGCAGTTCGGATATGATGGTGACGAGGAGGGCACCAGTGTACTTGCTGTGGCTGATTGCTTTAAAAACTGGAATGGGTTCTCACAGTGTGCAGCAGTCACTCCTGCAATGATCTCAGTACCTCTGTCCTTACGTCAGATCTCTGCTGATTAAAATCAGTAGAAGGTCTGATCAAACTGCCTAAAGGTCTGTCTTTGAGTTGAGTTGATCCCTGTTACTCTAAGTGATCCAGCAATCTGAACACAAGCTAAGGGGTTGGCCAGCCTCATCACGAGAGTGATGTTGGACCGCGTACCATCCCTCCCCTGTCCGACAGGGCTGAGTGGCAGATGTGTATGGAACATAGCAGGGACATGCAGTTCCTCCGGCACACTGCTCCAGACCTCACCAACCAGAGTTTGAAGGGCTTGCGAAAAGGGAAGCAGCATCTGCATCACTGCATTTAGTAGCCCTTGATAGATTAGGCAAATTAACAGAAGAAAGTGCTTTTTTTTTTTTTTTAATTCTAAATCTATTTGTATTTCTGGCCTCTGCAACATCCTGTGTCTAATAATTCTACAATATAATTATGTGCTGGGTGAAAAAGTACTTCCTTTTGTTTGTTTCAAACCACACCACCTTATTTCATTTGGTGACTCCTAGTTCTTATATTCTGAGAAATTTATGAACAGTCTTTTTCCTGTTCATCTGCTTTTTACTACTCTTCAGGGTTGTTTTTTTCATAAATGGCAGTGTTTTTTCTCCAAGTCATAGAGAGTTCTAGTTTTATAGCTTCTCTTCAAACAAAACCTCTTCCATTCTGTGATAATTCTTGTTGCCTTTCTCCATAGTTTTCTAGTCCCAGCTCTGATTCTTTTTCCTAATTCATGGCCTTTAGCAAGCTATTTTGTTCTTTGTGTACTTCTAGTTTGTGA